CCCCCCCCCCGACCACCTCAGGAGGGGAGGATTATTATTTTTTTTTAACCCCGTGCATTACGCGCAGTTCCCAGCACTCGGCGCAAACGCCACAGCCAGACCACCCCTCTACCCCCGCACCTCCAGCACCCCCCCAGCATCCTCAGGAGCCCCCCAAACCAACACACGGACAACTCCCTCCCCTTCACAACCCCGCGCATCACCGCGGGAGCTCAACCTTCCCCTCTCCAGGGGGCGAGAAACCGCAAACATGGGATCGCGGAGCGGGGCGGGGGTTGGAGGTGGGGGGGTTCGCGGTGCGGAGGAACCGGAGCGCGGAGCCCCCCGCCCGGGCTGCGCCCCCGCTCCGCGCCCCGCGCCCGCTCCGCGCCCGCAGCGCCGCCTGGTGCCCGCCGAGGGACCCGCAGCGCTGTGCGGGGCCGGGGGGACCGCGAGGGACGGGGGCGGCCGCGACCCCCCCGTGGGGCAGAGGAAGGGGCAGGGGAGGCCGCGCTGCGCACCCCCCACCGCCGGTGCTGCTGCCCCTCGCCCTGCTCCCACTGTGGAGCTGAGCCCCGCTCCCCTCCCCTGCCGCTCCTCCAAATAACTCCCCCCACCCTCCCCCAGAAAAATTGCAATTAAAAATATAAACCACATAACCCCCTGCCCAGGCGCAGCAGCACTGCGGGAGCACCGCTGAGCGCACGAGCGCTCTGCGAAACCCAGGAGTTGGCTGGTTTGAGCAGGGGGGATTCACCCATGGGGCCGTGGAGAAGCCCCCTCCCCGCCCAGAGCCCCTGGACCGGGACCCCCGGGGCCTCACCCGGCCCCATCCCGCTCCACTGCTCCGGGAGTCGCAGCTTCCCAGCACGGAGGCGGCTGGAGAGGGGCCCCGGCCGTGGGATTAGCAGAAGCAGCCCCTCCTGCATCCACAGCCCTGGCTGCTGCACGCAATATTTGGGGGAAGTTTTAAAATCTAGGTGCTTCTGCAGGCGCTCACAGGTCAGCACAGCCGGGTACTGAATCCCAAACCCAAATCCCTGTCCCACAGCCCCAGCTCCAAGCAGCCCAGCCGGAGAGGAGCAGAGCTTCCTTTAGCCGAACAGCCACATGCACACAACCATCACACTCCCACACTGCTCCCCATCTCCCAGACCTTGGGGTTTCCACTGGTACAGGGACCATCACCAGCATAAACCCCCGTTCCTTTAGGAACTCATCCAGGCGCACCCATCCCTACAAACCTCCCCTCTCCTGGGGGGAGCCAACCCTCGCCCGCGTTCGCAGTGGAAGTTTCTGGGGCTTCACTCAAGGTTTCAAAGGCAAAGCCGCCTCTGCATCACTGGTACACACGCGGGGAGGGGGTGTCGGGGTGCATATGCCACAGGGACACTCAAAAATCCCCGTCACTGAGGAACGAGGAGATCCCACAGCTCCGCGGAGCCGCGAAGACTCACACGCTCTCGCTGGCGCAGTTATTTATTTATTTTAAACCCTGGTACATGACATTTCTCTTCTTACGAAGGCGGCAGCAGCAGAAAGCCCATCACAGCCTCTCCTGAAAGCAGAGCCTGGAAACCAGAGTCTCATCTGCATATTCATAAGTACCTGATAAATTAATCATGATGGCAGAAGCATTCAGGCTAGAAGGGAGGTGACAGGGGAAGGTTGCACCCCCCAACACAAGCCCATCCTCACTCTCGCACACGCTCC